TCTAACGAACTTAAACATAAACAACATCCAAATAAACTAAAACTTAAAACGCTGGGTCAACAGAAACAGGAACCTGACAAAATATAGTCTATAATTTTTTTTTTTTCTGTACCCCACATAATTAAACATTCAAGTTGAAACTTGAATGTTGCATCCATGGAACATTCAAGAAATGTGAAACTGCTATCAAATAAGGGGTGCTATGTTAATATGTAACTTGACCTGTTAAGGTGTTTTTGATGGAAATATTATTAATTTGGAGCAGTGCATACTAAGGTTTTTTATTTTGAAAAACACTGTTTTTATTGTGCGGTTTGTTCAGTAACATTTAAATCATACTCGAATGACTCAAAAATTATGCTGACTGAATCGACTTTTTAGGAAAATCACATTTGCATAATAATTTGGAACACAGTGTAGATTTTTGCTTTGTATGTCTAACCAGACCTTAACAAAAAAATATTTGTAACTTGTGTAAATAATTGTTTGTTTTTTTACAAACACGCAAATTCTAGTCTACAGATGCACAAGCATAACATTTTCAGATATTTTGGTTTACAAGGTTACAAAACTCAGTTCACAACTTTACAAGTACAAAATATTCATGAGCACAGTTTGAGCCCATCCACACATTACACTTCTTTGTCACAGCTGGATTGCAGATGTTAAATCCGCACAGACTCTGTCTAACCTTGTATCACTTTCACACACATTATTATTAATATATAACCTTCACTTTCTCACAGTAAATCTCACCTGCAGAGACAAACACAAAGACGCTGAAAACAGGAAATTGTAGCAGAGTGACGAAGTTCCAGCAGACATTTCTGTTTCTGTTTTAAAATCAGAATCTGAGATTCAGAAGAGACTATATGAGATGAACTCTGAGGTTCAGATAAAGCTGAAAGTCCCTGAGTGAGAGAGCAGGTCTGTAACGCCACACTTATGAGTTAGAGAGAGAGATAGAGATGGTGGGCTGGACCGGAGTCCTCCAATGGAAACGCAGAAATGGTTCTGCATTAGGTTAACATTAGGACTGACGTATATTAAATTATATATTAAATTATATTAAATTAATGAGGAACAATCTGGATTCATGGCAGAAACATATTTAATAACAGTCATTTGGTTGGATATGACTGATTATAATACACTGGATGAAAGCTTTATTGTCATTCATTTATTGTTCACCAATTTGGATTTGGAAATTATTTTATATTATTTTTAAGTCATCGGTATATATACTATATATAAAGCTGAGAAGATAATTGAAGCTGGCGCATGGAGATTAGACAAAGCTTTTCTTCAAGCTTTTTTTTTTTCCTGTGTGTCACAAATTATGGCAATGAATATTAATAGAAAAGAGTAATTACAGGGCATCACTGCTTTAGGTAAATCATTTAAATTATCACAACTGACACGTGTGTTTGTGTCATCCATCTTAGATGATTGTAATAGCTTTTTTTTGTTTTCTTTTTTAAACGGGATTAGAAAAAAATCTCAGTTTCACACCTCTGAGTTGAAAGCAACCTTCCTCCGCCCCTCATACTGGTACAGTAACCCCACCACTTTTTTCCCCAGCATCTTCTAGAATGACATCCTACCTTGGTCAAACTGAAGCTCCTCTGCTGCCACCTGTTGGATTTTTACATAGTTTACATATAGTACCTCACACAGGAAACCTTTCTTACACACACACTTTTTTAGAGAGAGAAGAAAATAAAATAAAAACTGCTTTTGGAGGAGGAGAACATATTTGAATATTTTTGTTAATTTTTTCCAAAAGATCAACAATGTCTGATAACTCATCTCAGCCTCCAATAATACATCCTCATAGATATTTGATTCCATTTTTGTGATCATCTGGATTCATTCTTTGGTCATAAGGTGAGCAGGACTCACTAAAGTGATGCTGTGCCTCTTCAATAAATACAGTGTCTGCAGTTCAGCAGAGAGGAAGTGTTTGTTTCTGTTTACTGGAACAACTGCATTAACCACTAAGATGTGGTGAGACAGATATGTAGACTCCAAAGTTCCTTTGGTTTACTTAAGTCTATTTTGTCTATGTCTGTGAAGGTTCTCAGTCATCCAGGTCATCGTAGTCTAAGGAGCTTAGAAAAAAAAAGCATCAGGACTTCTTTAAGTTGCTTGAAGACGTTTCACCTCTCATCCGAGAAGCTTCTTCAGTTCTAAGGTCAAATGGTGGAGAGTCCTAGATTTAAACCCAGTGGGAGTTTCCCCCCAAAGAGGGACAATGAACCCCCTATTGAACCTCTACCTAATCACATGAGCCAAGGTGAGAAAATGGGTGTAGCTCACAATCAGCCAGGGTTTCGGGTGAGCTCATTGTGAAACCTGGCCCCACCCTACCATGTGATGTCCTGATGTCAGATGGCCCAGGATGTGAGTGGGTGTTAAGGCGTCTGGGGAGGAATTTCAAAACTGGATTATAGATGGCAGACAGTTGGTGTCGTAAACCACCGCCTCTGATCAAAGATGGTCGCTCACAGTGGACATAAATGGCTTCATTCACTCCTCTTTCAAACCATCTGTCCTCTCTGTCCAAAATGTGAACATTGGCATCCTCGAAAGAGTGTCCTTTGTCCTTTAGATGCAGATGGACAGGCGAGTTTTGTCCTGTGGAGGTGGCTCTTCTATGTTGTGCCATGCGTTTGTGAAGTGGCTGCCATTGTTTTGTTGTTTGTTCACAGTTAGAATAAAAAAGTTCACAGCTTAGAATAAAATCTATAATTCCTGCTTCATGACTTAGTGAACTATGATCATACATGGTTGAACATCCATTAAGTTATCAGCAGGCATTCATATATGTAGTTAACTCAAGAGGAAAATACACAACAGAGTGGGTTGAACTAACTAGAATGAAAAGTTTGATATTATTGAACTCAGAGATCAGATTTAAAGTTATTTTTCCAAATCTGCCTTCTGGAACTGATTAGTTTTTCAGTAAACCTCAGTTATACTCTGTCTGTATCATTTTATGTTGCATTAGAACAAAAGAGGCAAAGCAAAACTGGTTGCCCAACCCAACCTGTGACCATGAGCTGTGGGACTGTTTTACCCAAAACAGTTTTGCTTCTCCAAATTAGAGAACTGGATGATGACTTTGACCTTTGACCTATGATGACTTTGACCTCAGAGAGGCTTTAAGATCCATTGAAAGTTTAACAGCACTGAGCTCTCTGCTCATTCAGGAAATGTGATTCAGAAGGAAGTCCAGTCTGAGTTCATGAATTTGTAGTTTTTCAGACACTACAACACTCAAGTCTGTGTTTTAATCTTATATTACTGAGTGAGACAATATAAATGTTTCCAAGGGGAACAACAACGGGATACTTGTTGTAAGTTACTGAAGACATAAAACATCTGCATGCCAATAAATTAAGTAACTGATTTCCATTAAGTAGTTCTGCAGCATCAGAGTCTAATTCAGTGATAAAAAGACATAAAATCTGTAACATGTGGATGTCCTCTGGTCTGAGGTGCTGGGGGGACCAGTTAGAGACCAGCAGCTGGATGTCAGTGGTTGGACTGGTGGACTACTTCAGTGAAGAGTAGACGACGTCTGGCTCTGGTTTAAAGTCTGAACACAAACACACACAGTTCAAACAACAGGAAACATGATTACAAGCTTTGTAGTTCAGTCAAGACCTCCAATCTCCACCTCTCTGCATCACACACGGTCCCAGTTCAGACTTTACTGGGAACCAGTTTTAGATACAAATCAGAACGTCCACACTGCTCACACTTTAAACTGCTTCTTCAAATTATTCTAGTGTGGTTTAGTGTTTCTTTCTCTCAGCTTCAGTTCTTACTTTTTGTTTGTCATTAGTTCCCTCTGTGTTCCGTCTGTAGTTTCTCTGCCTCACCTCTCAGTGTTTCATGTCTTACTTCATTTATGCTGCTGTTTCTGATGGTTGTTTGTGTCGATCTTCATTCCTGTTTTACTTTGTCAGTGAGCTGCTCAGCACCCTCACAGACTCATGCAGAGGGAGATGTGGTTTGTTTTTGATGTAATACTGAGTGCATACGTGTGTTCTCACTATAGCAAGAGTAAGTATAGATACATCTAGCACAATATATACCTGGATGGTCTACTGATAACCAGCGGTAATGACAGATGTTCTGTAGTTATTCAGTTGTAGTCAACTGGACTGTCAGACATCTTGCTAATATGTTTCAATTTATCTCAAAGTCCTAGTGAAACATTTATGGACCGTATCCTACTGAAGACTAGTAACATTTTGCTCTCTGGGTACAGAAACAGTGCTCTGTTTTTTTTCTCTCAAGCTCAGAGGTTTTACTTTGTAGGTGAACTGTTTTGTGCAGTTTTAGAGAAACAAATAAAAAAAACATCTAGTGTTTCTTGCAGGTTCAATCAAAAATAGACCCTGCACTATTGTCGGTACTATTCTATTGCACGTCAACTTCAGCTGCCTGCCTGAGGTACCTGCAGGGTTATAAGGAGAGTCACAATTATATGTTGCACCATTTCCTGTATTTGAAGCAACACTACGCTGTTGAAATTCATGCACTATAACTTGTGTTTTCACTGCACAAGTTTATTTTTGTTGAATCTGATTGTGAAGATTTGTGTTCTGTGTTCATTTCCAGCTCTTTATTTTTATTCTTGGACTTGACTAGAGTACCTCTGCATGATTCACAGTTCAGGGTAATACTTCATTAGCTTACACTGAGCTTTGTTGGAGCCCCTTAGTTCATCCTGTCTAAAACAATCTGTATTAGCTCCTCTCCCTTTAAGGCAACTTTCTACCATGCTTTCTACCTTGCTGCCAATCACTAATAAAAGGTTGAAATAACAGGTGGCTGGAGCATATGTCACTGAGACCATATTAGGTATCGATGATATCATACAAACCCAAGAGTAGAAAAATCATTATATGTTTAGAGCAATCTGCAGCCTGCACTTTTGGTTCTCATGGATTACTTTATTTAAACTTTTCTTAGCTTAGCCTAGCATAATGACGGTAAACAGGGTGAACAGCCCAGCTGTACCTGAGCTTTCTTGTCCTGATGGTTGTTTGTCCATTACTGACATCGTCAGAGCCCACTGCTGGGTAGACCACAGTTGTATCAGTCTCTGTAATATTAAGCATATAAAATTACTGAAGCTACCACTGTTATATTATTACTCAACAGCTGCAAAGTAATTGACAAGATTAGGTGATTAAGTGATTTTTATAATCGGCAGCATTTTTCAGCTTTCCTATGTTAACACCTCTGCTGTGAAACTCATAATGACCAGAAATAACTGACGGCTCATTCTGTGAAAAACAACTGTGGATGACCACAAGGCTGCTATATTCTAATAATACAAATGCACACACTATACCACAAAGCACAAAGCAAAAGGGTTCTCATGAATTGAACGCTAGCATTAGATCTTGTGGTGAGACGTCTAAACCTTAACCTGGTTCACACTAACTGGGGTCATCAACAGCAAGTAGCTGCTGTGGTTTTACATGCAAGTTTAAAAGTGGTTCAAATGTCTGAGAGGCTGAAAACACAAACAAAGGTCTATGGACTGTTCAATCTGTGACTTAATTGGCTTCACACTAAGCCAAAAAAAATTATCTTCTCAAGAACTTTCACAGGCACAACTTTCTGAGAAGATGGAATGATCTTCCTGCAGTCCTGACCTCAACCTCACTGAACACTTGTGGAATCAGCTTGTGAGTGCTAGTCATGCCATCATGAACAACACAAACACATACAATCTACATACTTGACTCTGCTGCTCAACTCACAAATTTTCCTTACAAATCTTGTGCCATTTAAGAGAAGAAACAGACTTTCCAACAGTATAAGATTTATTGCCAAGAAGCAATAAATTAGTGTTACAACAAAGAAATCAAAGAGAAAGTTCCTTACTAACGCCCTATTTCTGAAACATCCTCACCCCTACTTTGCAGTGTTCCTTAATTGTAAAGTTGCAAAAAAGTTGTTTTAGAAACAAATCTAACAACTCAGCAGCCATTTGAAACACGTCACATAGTTTTGCAATTATATTTAAAATTTTAAATGTCAACCTCAACCCCTTTTGATGGAAACACAGTACTACCTTTGCTTTTTCTGATTGGCTGTTGTTGAGGATCTGATAATTGAATGTAACTGTACATGACATAAGTGATGATGTCATCTTCTTCTTGATCTGCTGAAATGATGCAAAATTAAAAATAATATAAATTAAATATCTAAAAACAGGTTGCATTTAGGAAAGTTGTAACTATAATAATAATGTATGTGACCTTTATTCTACTGAAGAATCTTAAACACGAACAATCAGGAAGTCTGAGTCTCACCTTCAGGTTTCCTGTGAGCACATCGTCTCACCAGCAGAACCAGTAACACCAGTAGAACCACAACACAGGATGATCCAACAGAGGAGACCAACATCATAGAGAGAAGAGGATGAGAGCGTGATGGAGGAAGAGCGATGGAGGTGGAACCAGGAGGAGAGGTGAATGTAGGTGGAGGTGTGGATGTAATGCCTTGAGCAGTTATTGATGGAGATTTGGTGGCAGTGAGTGAATGTGAGCTGGTGGGTGAGGGTGTGATGGTGGGTGGAGTTGTGGTGCTGGATGTATGTATAGAGGTGGGTGAAGATCTGACAGTTGTGGTGGTTTTGGTGGTGGGTGTAGATGTAGTGGTGGATGTAGGTGGAGGTGTGGATGTAGGTGGAGGTGTGGTGGTGTGTTTGCCTAAAATAAAGCAAACACAGTCATTAAGTTGTCGTCACATTGTGAATGTTGAAAGCTGCAGAAACACAGACAGGTGAGTGTGTCACCTGTGACAGTGATCCAGCTGGATGGAGACTCTCCATGACCGCTGATGTCACACTTGTAGAGGCCTTCATCAGACCTGGAAACATGCTGGATGGTCATGTGACCTGTAGGCTGCTTCCTGATGAGGGAGCCATCTTTATAGAAAGCAGCTGGGAGGTTGGAGGGAGTGGTCTTTGTTTTACAGAGCAGAGTGACGTCATCTCCCTCCATCACAGGGAGGACAGGACTCTGCAGGATCACTGATCCACCTCAACACAGAGACAAACTACAGCATTTCATCCATTTACACACAGCTTCATCAACACTAACTCCACACACTCAGCTTACCAGTGTCATACCTTTGTTCCTGGCTCTCCACTCTCTTAGTCTCTGAATGTGTTTCATCCGATGACACTATATGACATTTCATCTTTACTTGATAAAATGGAATTATCTACCTGCCCAAATGACTTTATCCATACAGCATTATTTAAAATCTGTTTTCTTGCTAATGGCCTTGTGTTGTAGAAATACACAGCTCAGAAATTACAGGCATATCTCTAAGATCCCTTTCTTGTGAAAGCTTCTTAAAAACGTGGCCAAACAAATCATTTCTTTTATGGAAAAGCATGACATCTTTGACAAATTTCATTCTGGGTTTATGTGTGCTTCACTCTACAAAAAGTCCTTTACTCAAGGTTTCTAGTGATTTCTAGTGATATTTTGAAGTCGGTTGACTCTGCTGCATCCACTGTAATGGTTATCCTGGAGCTTATTTCTGCCTTTGGCACTGTTGATGACAGTATTTTGATTAACAGGCTCTTAGGTTTTGCTCTAAAGTGGTTTAAATCCTATCTTTCTGGCAGAAAGTTCGGTGTTTTTGCAAACCAGGTGATGCCAGACTCTAAGAGTCTGTTCTGTGGGGTACCTGTAACAGGGCAGCCCTTAGCGGCTGGACACACAGTGAGACAGACCAAGGCAAGTGTAGTGGAACAAAGTATTTATTCGCTATATGGCTCTCCTTACAACAATTGTCGAGCCTCTTCACAGCACAAAAAAAAAATCCACCCTCTAATGACAACTGGCAGCCTTAAATATGTTCAGCTGTCACAGACTCAACCATTATTCCACTCTCAGGTAAATTCTTAAATCCCAACCTTCCACCACAGTATACAATATATCAATAAGAATAAATAAATACATAAATACATTTTCACATTTACATATTAATAAATACTTCACACTTAATGTTACACCAAACCCAATATTATAAAAACCCAGAAACCCAAGCACAAAAAGATTCACCACACTCTCTTTACCAATGGTCTCTCCCGGAACCTTTAAATGGTGTCTGGACCCCCGGGGAAACATTTGCCCAAACACCTTGAAGAGGACACAGGCAAGAAAGGTGAGTAATCATTAACTTACAAACACTTATTTACACCACTTTTATCCCTAGATTTTACACACACACATTTGCCTTAGTTTTCCTTCTTGGTAAACCTTAATCACAATCTCAATCACCATTCTTCTCTCCTGACAGACAACCACCACATTCCTTGACGAGGAGCAGCTGTGCAGGATCTGAAATAAGGCTACCAACTGATTTTAAAATTCCCAATAAATAGACAATAAATATTTAAACTGCTTGTGTGCAAATCCATGCTTAAAGTGCAATGCTCATAAAGTGCTTGATAAGGTGCTTTTAATAAAGTGAACAGTGTGCTCCAAAGTGCTATACATATAATATAAATAAATGCAGTAAGGGAGTCCTCTTCCTTACATTTCCTCCTCCCTCTCTTAAGCGCGAAGTGCTTCAGTCCTCTGTCATCCTAGATAAACAATCAGCAACCACATTTGACTTCCCCGGCCTATACTGGACCGTAAAGTCATAAGGCTGCAGAGACAGGTACCATCCTGCAATGCGGGCATTCGCATCCCTCATGCGGTTCAACCACTGGAGGGCACGATGATCAGTCCCCAGAGTGAAGTGACGTCCCAGAAGATAATACCTCAAGGCCTCAATAGCCCATTTCATGGCCAAGCACTCTTTCTCCACCGTCGAATACCTCGTCTCCCTGTCGAGTAGTTTCCGACTCAGAAACACCACAGGCCTTCTTTCACCATCCACCTCTTGCTGAAGGACAGCACCAAGGCCAACTCCTGAAGCATCAGTTTGCAAGATGAATGGCTTGTTGAAGTCTGGACTGTGTAGAACTGGATGTGTGCAAACTGCTTCCTTGAGGTCTCTGAATGCTTGCTCACAGTCTTCTGTCCAACGCACTTTGTTGGGGGCTGAGCCTTTTGTGAGGTCATTCAGTACAGTGGATCGCTCTGCAAAAGAAGGTATGAATTTCCGGTACCAGCCTACTAGACCCAGAAAACCTCTCACCTTCCTTTTTGTTGTCGGAACTGGGAAGGACTGAATTGCTTCAATCTTTCCAACCTGCGGCTTTATCTTCCCAGAGCCAACTACAAAGCCCAAGTACTCCACTTCTCTCTTGGCTATGGAGCACTTCTTGGGATTGATAGTCAGTCCAGCCATTCTGATGGAGTGTAGCACCTTCTGTAGGTGAATGATATGCTCTTCCCAGGACTGGCTGTACACCACCACGTCATCCAGATATGCTGCAGAGAATGCTGACACATCTCTCAGTACATGGTCCATTAATCGTTGGAATGTCGCTGGTGCACCTTGAAGCCCAAATGGCATGACTTTAAATTGGTACATACCAAAAGGAGTTTTGAAGGCTGTCAGCTCTCTCGCTTCTGGTGCCAAAGCCACTTGCCAGTATCCTTTACACAGATCAAGTGTTGTAATGTACCTTGCTGATCCAACTCTCTCCAGCAGGTCATCCACCCTGGGCATTGGGTAGGGATCAAACTTGGATACTGCATTCAAATATCTGAAATCAATACAGAATCTCAGGGTGTCATCTTTCTTTGGTACCAAAACAATCGGGCTGCACCACTCACTACTTGACACCTCAATGATTCCCAGGTCCAACATCAGTTTTATTTCTTTCTGCAGCACTGGCACCAACCGTTCTGGAATTCTATAGCTCTTTTGTCGAACGGGTGCATCCTCCTTCACCCGTATCTTGTGCTGAACCAGTGATGTGAAGCCCGGTGTTTCTTGAAAGAGCTGTGGGTCCACGAGTGGTTTTATATCAGCCTGCTCAGTAGGAGACAAATGAGAAAGGTCAACTGAAGCACAAACTTGAATGTTAGTGTTAGTTGGAAAGAACTTCTCAGTCACCTCCTCATCCTTAACTGAACGCACCAGTAACTGATAGACCGGCTCTTGTCGGCTGTGGAATTCCTTCAACAAGTTCACGTGAAATGTCTGATATTTTTTAACTCTTTCTGGCATATTCAGCTCATAAGTGACTTTACTCACTTGTCTGATGATCTCGTATGGTCCATGCCATTTTGTCAGCAACTTGTTATCGCTGGTGGGAAGCAATAACAGTACTTTCTGACCTGGAAGGAAGACCCTATCCCTGGCCTTCTGATCATACCAAGTCTTTTGATGTTTTTGTGCAGCTTTCATGTTGTCTTGCATCAATGATGCCATTTTCTCCAACCTCTCTCTCATGGTGATGACGTAGGCTGCGATGTTTTCGCCCTCTGCTTTGGATTCCTCCCAGCAGTCCTTAAGCAGATCCAGGGGGCCTCTCACTTGGCGACCGTATAAAAGTTCAAAAGGCGAGAAGCCAGTGGAAACCTGCGGGACCTCCCGGTAGGCGAACAGAAGGTAGGGCAGCCATTGATCCCAGTCAGCACCTGTGTCAGAGACAAACTTGCGCAGCATACTTTTGAGAGTCTGGTTGTATCTCTCCACTAGCCCGTCCGTTTGAGGGTGATAAGGGGTGGTCTTAAGTCCCTTTATCCCTAACAACTTATAAACCTGCTGCAACAACTTGGATAGAAAGTTCGTTCCACAATCCGTCAGAATTTCTCTTGGTATGCCTACCCTAGAGAAAAGCTGCAGAAGACAATTAGCAATGTGACGAGCTTTAATTGATCTGAGTGGGAAGGCCTCAGGAAACCGTGTTGCATAGTCACATATGACTAATATGTAGCGATGACCTGTGGAGCTCCTCTCTAAAGGGCCCACAATATCCATGCCTAGCCTCTCAAATGGTGTTTCAATAATTGGCAGTGGTTGCAACTGGGCTCGCGCTACTCCTTTGCCTGAGGTCAACTGACATTTTTCACAGGAACGGCAAAACTCAGAAACTTGGACATACATCCCTGGCCAAACAAAACGGCTGCTGATCCTATTCAGTGTTTTGTGAAAAGCCATATGACCTGCCCATGGAATTGAATGACCCAAATCCATAACTTTGTTCCTGAACTGTTGTGGGAGTGCCACAGCTTCGCACTTCCCCTTTCTCTGGTACAAGATGCCTCCTTTAATCAAGTAAACAGTGTCTGCAAGACAGCTTACCTGACCTTGACTAGCCCCTCTACCTCTGTTACCTTCTCAAACCAGGGTTTTAGAGTAGGGTCGCTTCTTTGGAGTGCACCTAAATCTGAGGGAACATCAAACTCAAGTTGGTTATTTGGCTTAGGGAACAATGCTGTACCTTTTTCCCCTGAGCCTTTGAACTTTTCTCTTCTTT